TTGATTGCCAAATTTATTAAAGCAAGGCAAGTGTCAATAGATAAACAACTAAATGAGTTTTTACTCATAAATGTAATTAAGGGCTCTCTAAACAGACTCTGCATAGAGTCATACGTCAAAGTCACACCACCCATCTGTATGAATATGCAGAAGATCAAAATAGCTTGGGAATGATTTAGAAAAATGCATCAAACTTTCAGCACCCTGCCCAAAAGGGGGCAAAATCTGCTCTGTATAGTCATAAAATGCAGTGAACGATGATCTTATTATAGAGTAACATTTTTATTATAGGGTACAATTATTACATATTCAGATATTTGTCACAGTTATGCACTGTTAGAATCATTTCATGGATTTTAGTTTGTATTAATCAGGTTCCTTTTCTTTTGTTCTTTTGTTTCTTATGTTTATTATTATCCAGCAGGACTCCTGATTCATTAATAACATCTTATTTACATTTATTGGTTCAATTTTTCTACAAAACAATGGTGAAAATAACAACAAATACAAATCATTCCAATCTATACTATTTAAATTATTCAGTTTATAGTGCACTAATAGACTGAGGAAGTTATTGCCTGTTCTTTCAGTTTTGTTGGGTATCATCAGGTCAAACCAGATCAGTCTGAAAATTCTGTCATTAATTACTCACCCTCATGTCGTTTCAAACCCATAAGACCTTCGTTAATCTTCTGAACACAAATTAAGAGATTCATAGCTCGTAGCTTCATGCTGTAGAAATAAATTGTTGAAATCCCCCTCGGTAGAAATCGTGTTCCGCATTCCCCGCAGTAAATTCGCATTTGACATCGCACCAGATCAGTCTCTCCACATTGAACCTAGACAGCTCACAAATTCAAGAAGTCCCTTGAAGGGTTGGTTGGCTATGGACAAAAGATAATTGATGTGAGCCAGTCAGAGTTGTGCAGGTTTGAAACATGACCAAAGGTCCTGCTCAGATATGAAAATACATGCATATCTTATCAAATGCAAAAGGGCCTCCTCAGTGGAAGAGTTTTCTTGTCAGACTTGAACTTACAGACATCTGTATGCATTTATCTGTCTATGGACACAGTAAAACATAGTACAGTATGAATGTTTCTGTCTGTTGGAAATTTACATGCAAGTTGTGAGTTTCTTAAGTTTCTTCTTTGGAGTGTTAGGTTCAGTGTAATAAAGCATTTGGTGCACATATAAAACTTGAATATCATCAAAACAGATTAAGCTTATTGTGTGCATGGAAACTTGCTTTGACACATACAGCATATCATGCTGTAATTTTTCTCACTTCAGCCAAAAACTTAATTTCATTCTTTATTTCACATTAGAAACAACACATTTTCAAATATGCTGCCAAATGAATCCGTTTTCTTAAATATTACAGTAATGGATGCCTAGAAATTTGGTAAGAAAATTAGAAACATACGAAAAGCATAAACATTTGTGGAGCACTATGTTCAGTGCTGTTCTTTTCCTCAATAATGACAATTTTGTCATTTTAAGTTTAGGCGTACATGAGGCCACTGAAGGTGCTTGTCTACTTTTGCCTGCTTCATTTGTGTATTCAAGGCATTGTGGGGAATGAGAGACTTGGCTCTTCTGCAGGGAAGCCTTCTTTAAGTAGGTCAACATTTGTACGTTTATTATAAAAAAAATTTTTTATATATAATATATATTATATAAAATCATCATGTTAGCTCAGTTTTAAATTAGTAAAATGCAGAGGCGGACAGTAACTAAGTACATTTACTTAAGTATTGTACTTAAGTACACTTTTTGGGTATCTGTACTTTACTTGAGTATTATTTTTTCTGGGAACTTATTACTTTAACTTCACTACATTTGAAAGACAAATATTGTACTTTTCACTCCACTACATTTCTATCAAGGTCCTCGAAGTAGAAAGTCGTTA